TTCCTGCAAAATGTTCTTAGTTACAGCAGGGAACTGCACTTCTGTCTGCACCCAAAGTGGTTAGCTCAAATCTTGTGGTCACAGCAATGTTCTAAGTGGTATACTATTCTGACAGATATGAAATCAAATGTGGCCACAGATTTGTGATAATATTATACCTTAATAAAGGGCCTGTTGACTTTCCAAACCAACAGGGCTGATACATGTTTTGGCTTTGTTTTACACTGGGTTTTATTGTGTCCTGTTCTACACTGGGTTTTATTGTGTAACCTGTTGGAGTTATGCACTAGGACTGCTATGCTTTTTTGTGTTGTTCATTCACTCATATAGTAGAGAATTGTGAGGGCTCTCATTGATATTATTCTTCTGTGTAGATGCACCTGTTTTCCTCTCACAAGTCTGAGTTTCTTTTGAACTGAAATGAGTTTAAACAACAGCTTGTTTCTCATGTGACTAAAAACAAAGGCTGGAACCCCAGCCCCACCGAACCCAATAGAAATTTTGTCACTGGTTTCAGTGGGCCCAGGTGTTCAGGCGAGATTTTGAAAGCCTATTTTTCTTCTTAGTTACATAGTAACATGTCTGAAATAATGTCACTACACAAGACTTACAGCAGGACAAAAACATATCTTGATTCTGCTTCCTGAGGAAGATTCCATATGCTATCGCGAGTACTAATATAGTAGCATAATACGGAATTTATTGTATTTATCCTTTTTGCTTTATGTTAGTTTGTGTTTGTCAGACAAATGAAATTACAAGGTAGAAAGCAGTACTCAGTGTCTGGGAGTATAACTATAGCTTTGCCTTTGCAAATCAGAAATTATTATTTGTAGAATTTTGTGAAATTATTATTTTATCCTGTAGAACAGGACAAAAATAGCCCTTTAGTTCTCAATCTGTATTGATTCAAATGGATCACTCAATTGCAAAATATTCAACATATAGCATATGGAGTACATAAATATTCTGTTAAGATGAGTGGAAACACTGATTTCCAAAAAGAATTGTCTTCTCCATTCATGCAATTACAGATGCAGGGGGAATGCTGATTTGGATGTGAGGCCCCAAGCATAAAGCACTGGGCATTAAATGCATGAGCATTTCTTCAGAGCTGCTTAGCTGAAGTTTATCATGACCATTCAGCTATTGCCTAGCAACTTGTGAAGGCCATCAAAGAGCTCTTTGTCCATAGTCCTGGCAAAAACATTTCCTCACAGATCTCCTTATCAGGATCAAAAACAACATACAAACTTAAAAAAAGCTTGTATTACATAAGACAGAATTATATATTTTAAAATAGGAATGTTCATATGCAGGTATGTTATCGGCACCACTATTGTTATAGTTGTGTCAAAATTTTCATTCTAAATTCCTGTAAAATCATTTTTGCCATAAACCATACTGAAATTTACTGTAGAAAATCAAAGCCTGGAAAAGTTGTCTTCCATTGTTTTAATCCTTTTAAAATATCTGTTTCCTTCAAAGGCAAATTTACATTTAATTCATTCATCTGTAAAAAAAAATAAATACTCTGTTTTCTTGTGTTTGAGTTCTTGTTGTGCTCCTTTTAATAACAACTAATAGAAGGATTTTTTAACTATACACTTAACTGGTTAATATATCTGTCTACATACTCCCACCCCTTACCTACCTGCATACATGCTGACAGTGGTATCTACCTCGTCCTTCTGAACTTGGATATGGTAACGTTTCATTTATATTGAAACAGATGCAAAGTTCAGAATCATTTCAATAAATTATACTATAAAAATTGCAATATGGGGTCCTTATTAAAAATGCAACATTTGTCCGTGAATATTACACATTCATTTTTGAGATGCCACATTCTCTTCTTTTGTTGAGCATAGGGGAATAAGCCTGTACCTGATTATCTTCCCATCAGAAAATACATGAGAATTGTATACAAAAAAGTAATCTTTGAGGTTTCTTCCTAGTAATTATAGAGGAAATTTGTCCACTTGTTATTCCTCCATGGTTGGGCTCCCAATCCTCAGTGATCCTCAGAGTCCAGGGTTCTATATCCTTTCTACCTCAGTGTCCCCTATACTTCTTGACAGCATGGCTTTCACAAACCATGAGCTGTGCACAGCTCCAGGGGGTACAACTGAGACTGCTGTTGTATCCCTCTTGTCTATCCCATTTCAGATTATGCTCTGTGGAAATTGTTGGCAACTGCTGACTTGTTAATAGTGACCATTGTGTATTGAAACACCATTGAAACCCATTAAAAGTCTGTGAAAAAAAAGTTTTCACTGTAACAGGGTTCTACTGTGTGAAGCTGTGTATGATATGAAAGATAATGCTTAAGCAAACGGTTTAGCAGGAGAGTATCAGGCATAATTCTAAAATTCTTTGCATTTTTCAGCTTATGGTCTTTACAGATTTATAAACCAAGGCCAGAGTTTTTAAGTGTGGAGACTTAAAATCAGGCTCCTAAGGCCATATTTAAGCATCTTCAAAATTACTATGGTTTCCAGATTCCCTTCTCCATATTACAGTAATGTAATTAACATGTTAATCATGGCATAAATGGCAAGGGTGCTACACATGCACATGGTAAAATGACAAACCACCCATAAAAGAGTTCCATATTATATGTAAATTGTCAGCTCCAACCCCAGACCTGCAGGCACCTGGCTTTCAACTTGCTGGTTCAGGGGGAGCCTGGGATCATGATTCCAGGCTTCCACTGCACTGGCAGCTAGAAAGGGTGCGACTGGATTCTGATCCATGATACCAGAATTGTACCTCCTTCCATGTTCCTGTGGCATGGCAGGAAGCACAATTGTTGGGATCAGGGAGCAGATTCCGTGGTGCCTTTAAAAGGAAGTGTGCCAGGGGTCTCAAGTTTCATTCTTCTCATTGTCTCCAAATAGGGGCTTTAGCACCTCAAAACATCAGACCACATAGTTAGGTGCCAAATTTGGATTTATTAGTTTAACTTTAGGTTCCCAATTTGAAAATACTGGTACCTATTAGTTGGATGCTGGTTTGTTTTGTGTCTTAAATATAAACAAGTCTGACAATGAAGTTAATAGTGTGTGTAAAAAACAAATATAATGGGAGGAGCGGTAACAGTATATGAGGATTTTAACTCTTGGCAAATACTTCTCTTTTTTCAGGTTAATGGTAATCAAACAGTTGTGATCATCATATGGCTATTAGATGACCTTTGTTAAACGAGGGGGTGATCAATATCTGGATTCTAATGGGCAGATGTTTTCCTTATGTCTGGCACTATTTCAACTTCCTCTTTGACTGTCTTAGCAAAGAGTGCCAAAGATTTAAGAATCTGAAAGTTCACTTTTCCTCTAACTATAGAGATGGTTTGTTAATTAGATTCAGCAGCTTGGCAGGGGACTTGGATTGGGGAATTGTTCTATATATAAATAGGGTAACATTTTTCAGTGTTGTCACAAGCAGTAGATACCCTGTTTTCAAAGGGTTTAAAAAGATTTTTCTCAGCTATCATGCGAACTTGTCTATTTTGCTTATGCAGAAGTTCAACAGTAAGGGGACCTGAAGCATATTTTGCTGGAAATACTTACAAAGCAAGTCATACTTCGTGGCTGGATTTGGTCCATTTTTTCTTTAGCCAAAGATTCATTCAAGAGAGGCACTACAATAATAGTTAATTGTTAATGCGAAGTACTGTAGACACAATAAGGTCTGAGTACCACAGTGGATGTTTCCTGGCATTTAACATTCGGGGTGGGGGGTGGGTGAGGGAATTAAAGAATACCAGGAATGTGAGATTTGTACAGAAAAAAGTCTGCGATCCTAATTAGAAGGTTATATTATGATTTATGCCTGCTTATGTATTGGGGTTCATGTCATGGTGAATGTATAATCAATTTTGTGCCAAACCAGATAGACAAAACACTGACTGACCAGGCTCCTTAGAAGCCTGCTGCAGCTAAGCATTTTGGAATGCTCACATGGCGTGTTTTGAAACCCTTTGTGTGTCCCACATTTTTCCATTTGGTATGAAGCTTAGCCATAATCAGCTCACCACTAATTAGAAGTCATTCCGTGTCCTGCTCACCATTATTACATGAAATTATCTCAGACCTTAAGAATTTTTACTTTCAGAAGACAGGTTTTTTCAGTGCCTTGCACAAAAGTGAAAATAAGCTTCTGTTGTTTTGGAATGGCCATTGTGAAGGACCTAAAAACCATTCTTTGTGCTATGTCTATGTTTCCCTTTCATTTCTGTGTGCAGCTGGTACACAGTACATATTTATGAGAACATGAGGGATGGGTAAGGCCTAATTTTTAGAAAGGTCATGGAAGAAGACCAAAACATGTACAATACTGGGAGCTTCAGCACTGGAAATATTAGCTTTGCAAGGCTGAAGGTAACCTCCTGAAGAGTGTCTACACCAGTCTGGCTTGGCTGCAGCCTTACACAGATCTTATGTCAGCAGGATGCAGCCTGAGGGGAAGATCCCATGGAGTTCATCTGTTTTGTGGGAAGAGAGCTCCAGAAATGGTTTGCTGTTGCAGAGCCTAAGATTAGTCCCTAGGCACAAATCAGCAAAACAAAAACATAATTGACTCAGGGCTGTGGGGTTCAAAGAAAATAGCAGAGGGGGTAGTTCCTTTCTCCCTTTCCTATTTTAATCACCCCTAATATTATGGTTGATGATATTTTAATGCAATGTCTTATTTCAGTGGGGAAAATTCAGTACTTATTAGAACACAAGGTTAAGATGATTAATAATGTTATTGCCTAATGGATAAGTAACAGCTCTGAATGACCATTTATAAAATGGTCTCTTCCATGCCCTTTATTAGGAAAAAATCTATGTCATGTAGTTTTCCTGGTTAAAAGGCCTGGGGTGAAACCCTGACCTTATTAAAATCAGTGGGTTTCAATAGGGTCGGAATTTCAATCCTGTTGTCCATTACTCGTGGCCTATGGAATGTGACTACTAGTGTGGCTAGTGACGGTTCTGTGTCCTAATGGTTTGCAGGTATACACTGTGACAGCGTGTGTGCTGAGGGACACTGGGGGCCGAACTGTTCATTGTCCTGTTACTGCAAAAATGGAGCTTCATGCTCTCCAGATGAAGGAATCTGTGAATGTGCACCAGGATACAGAGGCACCACTTGTCAAAGAAGTAAGGACAAAATCAGTGCTTTGAAATTCTCTTCTTGTCCTCCTGTCTTTAATAAACCTAGAGTATAATATGACATTGCTTTGTTAATTGTACTGTGCAACAGTCTCTGCTTACGTATTTTAATGGTGCTAATTCACAAGCATATGGAAGCTCGAGCTTTATTTGTACTTCCTACTGCCAGGCTTTTTTCTTCTTGTAACTCAAGTCTTTTACTTTTTTATTATTTGTTTCATGCCATGGTGGTGCCTGAAAAATAGAAAACGAAATGACAGGTCCCTGCACCAATGGCTTGTAAAGCCAAAATTTGCAAATATGGGCACCTAATTTTAGGCAACTTAATAATTGAAACCTGGTTTTAAGATGTTCAAAACACCTGTGTTTCCCATGTATTTCAGTAGAAGCTCCTAACCTAGTCATTGCATTTATTTAACATTTATATTGCAATAGCACCCCAAAGGCCAGCCAGGTCAGTGCCTTGCTGTGTTAGGCACCAATATAATGCCCAGTGTGCAATGATTCTATATCTGCAAAAACTTAGATATGAAGCATTTGTCAATCTAAAAGACACTTCATAGCAGAGAGAGAAAACAAACAAGTGGACTAAGGTAGGGAATGGCAAAAACAAAAACAGAAATGGAAAAACAGAAATGTCTCTTTGCAGCCTGACAGACTAAATGAGAGTAGTAATCCCTGCCTGCCTACCTGTGTTCCTATTTGCATTGTAGAATGGGCAGCAATTCAGAAAAGAGACATATGAGTTATCTGTGTTTCCAAGCTCTATTTCTTTCATGTTTCTGGAATAAATTACCCAGAGATAGGGTGTAGAGTAAGAGGAATAAGAACCAGAGATGGATGGTTGAAGGACCCACCCCCCACTCCAACCAAAAGCAGGAAGGGAAGGAAGAGGACCCACCAAATGATTCCTGAAAGGTAGAAGGAGAACTGGGACAGGAAGCTGCAAATGCTTACGAATGGTAGAATTTCAAGAAAGATATGGTCTACCCGAGGAGTGGACAACCTGCAGCACAAACAGCCTTTTTGTTTGGCACCCAGCAGATTAGGGAGGGGACAGGCAATACAGTGGGCAGGACGCAGGGAGCAGAAAGAAGAGCAGCAGATAGGACAGAGAAAGGGGATTAGGTTGAGACTCCAGAGGGTATGGGGCTAATTTGTGGCATGCCTGCCAGAAAAGGTTGATTCTTGCTGATCTATCCTAAGGTTATATGCCTAACATTGCTGTAGCATTAGTATGTTCTAAACATTTCTAGGTATGTAAATATTCTCACCATTTCTTGCATGCATCTGAGAAGGATTTGCAGTAAATCAGTTAATCCAAAAGAGGACTAAATAAAGGTAAAGCTTTATTTAGTGGCTTGGAATTATTAGGTGCCACAATTTTAGTGGATTCCATGAAATAACATTAACTCAAATGACCCTCAGAGTCAGTCGCTCATGTACCACCTAGAGATAATGAAGATCAAGATCGCACAAATTAATTTGGACCAAATCAAAAAGTGCCTTTTCTGTAAGCAGGATTGTCTTATGACTGATCCACTGCTTCCCTTGAAAGGATAGAAGCTTTCTGAAAGGATCTGACCAAGTAACTTGTATCATGTATATACTTCAGAGGCTGCTTTTTGAGCTAAATTTAAATATTTAAGGATACAACTTTATTTTTTAATAAACAATCATTGCAATTGTACAACGGACAACTTGAAGCACTGTTGAATCCCTTGATTTATAGAAAAGAATGGATTAGAGGTAGAGAGAGAGAAATTCCATGCAACAGACTTCAGTCCATTTATAAATGACTGGGGATATAGCTCTGAAGTACAGATTATCCTTGACATAAAAAATAAATGGAGGCCTCAGTGTTTCTGATCTCAGTTTGTATAAAAAACAGGGAAGTGGCATGTGGCTGTCTGCACTGGGTTAATGAACGTAATGAGTATCTAATTGGAAGGATGGTTGGAAAACATCTATACCTGCTCCTTTTCGTCAATAGGGTGATGGGCTGAAGTGATTTAGATTTTTCTCACAAGTGAGGAAAAGCACAAGAAGTCAATAATACCAAAGCCTCAAAACAACTTTTTCCTCCTAAGGATAAAACAGTCCTATTTCATTCTTCTACGTATTGTGTAACACGTATTGTGATTTGTTTTTTTCCCAAATGCTTTCCTTTAATTTTAGAATGTTTTGCAATTATTATGCAAGTAAATTGTTTTGTTTATCCTCTTCTTACCCAGGAATATGTTGGGTTGGTACCATATTCTGTTTACATGGTTTGCCTGCATACTTTAGTCTTTATTCTGTTGCTGAATTGCAGGCCATGCAACCCCACTGGGATCAGTGGACTTGTACAGGACATGCATGAGGCTAGAATTTGGCTCTGTGTCATTATTAACTCTAAAGCTAGAAACAGACATTTGTCCCTGTGTTTGTCCCAGAATATAAATATCCTGGGATTGGCATGTACACACATCACCCTTCTAATCAGGGTTTAGGGAGTGGCAGAATTAAATGCTGATTTTTCTGCCATTGATTCAGTGATGCAATCGGGGGATAATTGTACAGGTATACTTTGCAATATCCTGGGATAAACTGTTACTACCTGTTGTTCAGGAAATATTTTTAGCATTTATCCAAGGACAGTGGACATGAACGTATGTACAATTGCGCTTTTTTTCCCAGGATAAAATTGTTTGTTCTAGGATAAATGCAATATCCATGTGCAAGCTAACACAAATCAGTGCTGCTGTACACTGCAGCTGCTGTTTGGCAGCCCACTTTGGTACTATTTTTTCAAGTGCTAGAATGTCTCTAGATTGTAGTAATCTCTTTAGGATAGGGTCTATATCTCCTTACATGTCAGTAAAGTATTATGATATACTCATTGGAATTATATAAATATAAAAACAACCAGTTCAATAGCTATATATTCAATTAATGAGACTGAACTAGAAGTGGCAGGTAGACAGCACTGAACTGGTTAACTGTTAACTCATTTAGCTGTTGAAGATTGTGGTGATATAGAAAATACAAGAAGAAATATCAGTACTTTTCTTTTTGGTTTCAGTTTGTTCTCCTGGGTTTTATGGACATCGGTGTAGCCAGACCTGTCCCCAGTGTGTGCACAGCAGTGGCCCTTGCCATCATGTTACCGGACTTTGTGATTGCTTACCAGGATTCACAGGTGCCCTCTGCAATGAAGGTACAAACCCTCTTTAATAAAGGTCCCTGTACAGGATACAGGGGTCAAATGTTTCATTTTTTTATTGTGTGTATTCCACACCTCCAGGGACCACATGACCTTAAAGTACCATATTTTCTGGCCTACAATATACCCCCAAATATAATACTTAACTTTTTTTTTTTGAAAGGCAGAATGAAAAAAAAATATTTTTCTAGATTATGGCTAGGCCAGGCAGGGGCATAGACTAATCTTCATATGTTTTACTCTCCCCTTCCTGCATAACTACAGCTGAATTCCTACCTGCTGGATCATTATAAAGAGCTAAAGGGGCTGTGCTAAAGAGGCTATGAAACAGAAAGACAGAAGCCTGCAACAAAATTGCCCTAAGAAAGGTTGGCTTGATTAGTAGAACATTAAGACTATTTAAGAAGAGACAGATCATTAACACCTCTAGCATAAAAAATAATCCATTTAGTCAATTGACTCCAGCTGCCTGAACAGCCTGAACAGTAATACCACAGCTGCTGCACTGTGGAGCAGGTACTTCCAACTCTGGGGAGATAATCAGCTTCCCTGCTTTCTACATGCACTGCAATTTTGCAAGGGTTGGGGGAGCAGAAGGGGGTGGTATGTTGTATGTGAGAAACTATGGTAATCCCTGTATTTTTTTTCTATCTGTAGTTTGTAAATGCAGAAATTAAAGCCAGAATTTCAAAAATGCAGCCCTTAAAAACTGAAAAATGTTTTTCTTGACACTTTGGAGAGATCATGCTCTTTAGAAATTAAAGTATTGATGTAATATAAATATACTTGATTGCATTTATAACAATATTTACTAAACACATTTTTTCTTGATCCAAGATACCAGATTTAAAAATCAAATTTTAAAAACAGAGGAAACAATACAATTGTAAGTTACTGATAGGCTGTGATACTAATCACTTCTTCACAGTGTGTCCCAGTGGCAGATTTGGCAAAAACTGTGTTGGCATCTGTACATGCACCAACAATGGAACATGTAATCCCATTGACAGATCTTGTCAATGTTACCCTGGTTGGATTGGCAGTGATTGCTCTCAGCGTAAGTACCATTTTTTTTTTTTTTTTTTTTTTTTTTTTTTGTCCCGTGAGATGCCTTATAAATCTACTAGGCAGGGTTCAGCTCCTTTTTAATCCTCTTCTTGATGGTGAAGAAATTGTCCTACCAGAGTGATAAATCATAAGGACGTCCATGGTATATGATTAAGAGATGTTCGCTTACATTGCATTTTAAATGCATTATCATTAACATTTGCCTTATGAATGTGGTATAGAAGTTTCGCTATTGCAAATTCAAATATTAAGATTTATTATGCATTTATCTAACTAACTATAGACATGGCCCATGTCACCATCTTCTGGGAGCACCTCACGCCCACTAATAAATTTGTCTGCAGAGAACTCTTATGAGGTATAGAAATAATATTATTATCATCTCCATGTTATGGAGGGGCAAGGGGAATTGACTGATCCCTGGTTTCCTTATAATTGGTAGAGATCCATATTGTATTAAATATGGACTTTCTACCAATATTTCTGCTGGGTCTACTTGAGTGAGTAATTACTACAATAAATTAAATATTTGACATTGGTATTTTTGGGGATGCATGGCCTATTACAACAGTAACCTCAGTACCCAGTCTTGTACCTCGAACAAAAAAACTTCTGGGGAATATTTTGTGACCAGGAGCACCAAAGGTATGTTTTTATGAGCGAGCTAAGAAGCCAAATACATTAATTCGGGAGGAGCACAGTGCTAAAATAGCTATTGCTTCCAACACCCAGGCTTACTTGTTTAGTTAACATTTCTATCTTTGCTTAGTACTGTGTTGTACTAATATAAATATTATATATATAAAAGAAGGCTGTACATTCTCCCAGGAGATGAATCTCTTAATAACATGCCTCACTTATTTCTGTCACTCACAGTTTGTCTAATTCAGGATAACTGGCTATGTTCCAGTGCAGTGCCACATCTGGTTAATTTGAAGATTTGTTGGCTAAATTCTAAAAAGTGGTTAGCACCCACAACTGCCATTAGTACCACAGGAAAAATGTAGGGTCTTCTTCTCCAGTTAAACTCAATGGCAAAATTCTTTGTTGGATGACGGCTCTTGCTCTGCCATTTTCAGCTCCATACTGGGGTGGGAGTATTTGGGAAAAGGCCATGCTCACTCTCATGAGCAACTCAAGAAAGTGATACCAGACAAATTAATGGTGTTTCTGTTAACAATGTGCTCATGACCACAAGAGAGGAAGTTTATTTGGTTTGTGCTGGGGCTTTTATTTCTCATGGAAGAAAATGGTTTCATTGATTGCTACATGAACTGGAGGCCTCCTTGATACTAACTAACCTCTTTCCTGTGTGTGACCTGACATTCTTTTTTGGCTGACCACTAACTTCATGCAATGAATTAACAGTATTCTTCATCTCACACAACCTGAAAACATCAGAAAAGGACAAGAGCAAAATTCAAAGAAGCAGATAGTTCTTGCAAAAGATTTTTTAAAATTAAAATGTATTTTTTTTAATAAAATGACTTTTGGACTGTGGCAACTGTTCCTAAAAAAAATATTGACCATACATATAAAAAAACACTTTGTAAATACAAACTTTTATTAAAACGTACAACTACTGACCTGTCTCTGAGAAGCTGTCTAGATCTCTGACCAATCAAATCTGTATAATACTACCTTACATTTTACATAGGCAAAATCAGCAATTAAGCTCCAATGTCTAATGTCTTTTCTCCCATAAAATATGCATTCTGTGGTTCCACAAGACTATTTAAATTCAGTAGAACAACTTTGATCTAATGCTTTCACTATGAAAAATGGCAAAACTCATTAAAGTAGAAAATTGTAAAGTAATTAATCAAAAATAATACGTCATTCTTACAAGGGGCTCCGTACTTTCTATTCTCCAAGGCATCTGATATATTCATCTATACATATACTTTTTCTGTAGCTACTTATAAACGTTTAGAATTTTGGAGGATATTTCAGCTCTCTTACTGTTAATAGACTTCTGTTTCCAATTCAATATACAATTTTCAAAGCAGCTTCTGAAACTTTGCCTATACTATTTGCAATCCTGGATGCATATACAAACACTCACTAACTTTTATTTTTTGTGATTACCTGTTTGGTAGAAGGATGCTATCAGTTGGTAAATTGATCGGGGAAAGTGAGTAAATTAGAGACCTCTGGGTGAGCTAACTAGTTGAAAATGAGCAGACAGAGGAATGGAATAATCCCTAGTATTTAAATGTAGTATTGCTGTATGATCACAAATGGTAAATGTCTTTGTCAGGCGAAATTAATTAATTGATTGCGATTGTTTTAGCTTGCCCACCCTCTCATTGGGGTCCAAACTGTATTCACACATGCAATTGCCATAATGGAGCTTACTGCAGTGCCTATGATGGGGAGTGTAAATGTACTCCAGGATGGACTGGCCTCTATTGTACACAGAGTAAGTTGCTCTTATTGTCTACTCATGTTGTTGTGTGCCTAATGTTCTTTATTTTCAGCACTCCCTTATTGTTCACTGATCCTCTAACCCTGTTGTATCATTCTGATCCAGAGTGTGTGACTTATTTCTGCTGGTGCAGGGATTGAAAATTGTAGTCCCTTGAGTTAGTATAGAGTGCTCAGCTGGGAAGAAATTCTCCCTTGGAGAAGTGTGGGCAGTGTTTGCATCACTGCCCTCTTTTTGAGCCACTTGCAGAGGATAGTAGCTTTCAGCTGAAGTCAGGAGTCTCTAGGAGTATCGCTTGAAGAGGTTTTCATGCACATATGCTGAATAAATGATTCTGACATTGAGATGCTGGAGTCTTTAGTATGTAATTTAGGGGCTTGCTGAAACCCTTCCCCTACCCAAACCATCCTTTGAGAAGTATTCTACCACTGAGAATCTGGTAGATTTGGCAACAACATCATTATCCAGGACTGTAGATTTCATAGATGTTAGGGCTGGAAGGGACCTTGCAAGATCATCGGGTCCAGCCCCCTGCCCAATCCTTGGCAGTGATCCACCAAGGCACATTCCCCTTCCTAGAAATCCTGCAAAGTGATCACATTCCAGGTCTCTTACCTGTGTAATCACTCATTTAAAAATAACAACTTTCTCCAATGGCTATGAGCCCTCACACACATATTAGAAATTGACATAGCCACTGTCTTATCTGGATCCAGAAATGGAATATCATAATGCTACTAATTAGTACTCAACTCTGGGAGTTTCCTTATGATATAAATACAAATACATTTTAATACTTGTGAGCTCTAAGAACTTTACATTAAAAAATCAGATACGGCCAATGTTTAATGTTCAACTGTTTGATGGCATGTGACACCCATTATGTGTTGGGCATTAGTTAAAACAAAGTGGGAAAGAATTCGTCTCCTGATAGAGGGAATGTGCATGTCCTATGCTCTTTATTACAAGTACAGTAAGATTACATTTGCAGCTATTGTTTGGATTACACTGAAGCCAGGTATTCTCTCCATCTTTGATCTCTAAAAGTACATCTGAAATCTGTTTTGTGTGCAGAGCTTAGAATCATAGACTTTAAAGTCAGAACTCTCTTTTTGCAATAGCACAATGTCAGAGTAGCAGGAAATAACACATTTATTATAGGGGCATATGGATACAGCTTTGGAAGATATTCACTGTACTGGTTCATCTGTCAGCTATCACAGTTATTTTGCTTCCTGCTGGTGAATAATGATCTCTTTACAGTGATATGTCTTCTTCAAACAGAAATGGCATCTTTGTGCGGAGCTGAGATACAGTATGTTATTATTTTTACTCTTTTATGCTTCAACATCAACTGTGCAGAAAATATGACCAAAGATCCATTCATTATTCAGTCTCCCTGTTCTTGTGCACAAAGTGCCCTCTTTCTCCTCCTTCAAATGTCTCCCATTTCTTCCAGCAATCCTTCTTACATACCTTCTCTAATCATCCACCATTCCCACATCCTCCTTAACTGCTCTTATCTAACTTGTTTGTCTAATTTAGATAATAAACTCTTCAGAATTGGGAAAATCTTAATCTATTATGTTTAGGAAGCACCATGTAAATTTGAGATACTACATGAATGGTTTTCATAATAAGTGATAATGCTTTTATATTCTTCATGAAACACTTTTGTCTCTTTCTTTTTTTCCTTTTTCACTGCAGGATGTCCCTTGGGGTTTTATGGGAAAGATTGTGCATTAATATGCCAGTGTCAGAATGGAGCTGATTGTGACCACATAACGGGACAGTGTACATGCCGCACAGGATTCATGGGCAAACATTGTGAACAGAGTGAGTAGGAAGCAAAAATTATCCATGCATGGTAGGAACGAATGCAAAAATCCCTAGACTAACTTCTGTTATTCTGAGTCCTTATTCAGAGAGAGAAAACCAAACCAAACCAGAACAAAACAAAATGAAAACAGAAAAGCATTGATTTAAGTGAAATTTTTGACTGAACAAGTGCTCCAGAATTTGGCTCTAAGTGTCTGTCATTTGACATTACAATTATTTCTCTATCTGGGGAAAGCCTAGGAGATGGGGTAATTAAAGACTCATATTTATATTCAACTCTTACTTATAGTTTGTTTCAATTTATATCTATGTTTTAAAAGAATCTGTACAACTCTCCAGTTGTCTTTGCATAATATTAAAAAACTTAAAGAGCCATGGAAAAAAAATGAGTCCAAGTAACAAACAGTGCTATAAAGCCTTGGTAAAAAATGAATAACCAGAAGACCAAAGATTAGACAAAGGAAATCAACTCTAATGGCCATATCCAGACAAGCACAGACATGCAGTATGTGGTGTCGCAGGCCCATCTGTGGTGCCACACATTGCACATGAAGGTGTTTCCCACACTGCTACCTTGCAATGCAGGGGGATTTTTTGACCCTGGGAGATCCTGGAAGCAAAAAATCTCACGCCGAAAAAAAGCAGAGTGGTACATGTGGCGGCAGCACATGCTGTCCCAAACTGGAGCCTGGCTGGCCAGAGCTACACTCCAGCTGCCAGCCAGGCTTTCCACCATGGCTGCAGCCCCAGGAGGCCCACAGGGCCCAGTAAGGCTGCTGGAGCCTGTCCCAGTTCCTGGCCTCAGCCTCCCCTACCCCATGCAGGGTAACCAACATGTGTGTGGCACAGGCATTCCCCAGGGCAAGTAGCAGTGGCACAAGGTGTGCTGCCACTACATGTCCCTGGGGAAACAAACGTCCACGCTCATCTGGATGTGCCCCATGGGGCAAATTTATCCTCAGAATATATTTCTAAATCAGTGGAATTATGCAGAGGAGGCTTTTTTCTGTGATTGTAGGGGACAGGAATAGGAGCAGTGCCCTCAAGCTTTAGCAGGGGAAATTTAAGTTGTAGATTAGGAGGAACTTTCTGAGAGGGTGGTTAAACATTGGAACTGACTGCCTAGAAAAAGTGCGGAATCTCCATCCCCGAAAGTTTTCAAGAGCAAGTTAGACAGACGCTTGGCTGGGATGGTGTAGTCAGGGATGCTCCTGCCTTGAGCAAGGGCTGGATTATATGACCTCATGAGATCCCTTCCAGTTGTACTTTTTCAGAGCATCCTATGGTCTTATAACATGGCATATTATATTTGCTATAACTAGGGCCTTTTGCCTGATTCTTTTTTCACGTCCTCATTTTACACTAATGGCATCAGTAGGGTTATTTTTGATTTGCAATAAAGTGAGAGAATAATCAGTTCTGTATGCACACAGTTGTGCTGCTCTAGTTTTTGCAGGGGTCAAAAGAATGGTTCTTCTCTTCCTAATACATCCCATGATGAATCCTGTTATCCAGGACACTGAACCCTGTTCAGAAGAGGCCTACATACAGCATAAGTTGTATTTAATTCTGTTTTGGGGATTGATTGGGTTGTATATAAGGGTTTTGTCAAACGGGGTTTGTGCAGGTCTGTTTGACACATATGGAACACAGTTTTCCTTAGTTGTGCCAGGTGTTGTATTTGTAAAAATTAATCTGTGTTTGTAAAGGTGGTCAAAACATTTTGGACAGAAAAGTTTTCCATTGGAATATGTAGCTTGATTGAAAATTTAAGCATTTGGCAGGGGCCTATTAATATTGATGTATTTTTCCAGCAAAATGTTGAAATGAACCCTTTGGACTTTGCCACTTCATTTTGATTTTGCAAAAATGTTTTATTTTTAAGAGTAATAACAGTACATTTTTGATAAGTTAAAACATCTGGGCTTTTATATCAAATATTGCTAATATTTTTATGCGTTATAGTCACTACTACATACTGTACATTTGATACATACTATTATGTTCAGATATTATCAAAATGAAATGATTCAACATGATTTGCCTAAATGTTTTAATGCTTCTGAATCAGAATTTTTCAGATTTGGGTCTGAAAAATTTCATTGTGTTGACTTTCTATTCCAATTCAGAATTTCAAAATATCAGAATATTCTGTGGAAAAGAAATTCCATTTTCTAACCAGCTGTAATTTGGTGCAAATAGAAATAAACTTAATGACAAGAAAAAGAAAATAGAGAATATGAACTAGGTTTGCAAATCCACCCTAGAGACAGGGAGTTTCACAAAACTTAGGCTCCAAAAAGTTTGCCTGTTTCTCTTTGTGTATTATACTTCTGTAAACCAGCTTTGTTCAGTGAAGCAACCAGCAACACATTTGGTAGTATGAAAGAAACCAAAGCTTTCAACATGTGATGCTAATCACATGGTCAAAAAGACACTTGAATCAGGAATTTATTATTGGTTGCAAATCTTTATTACTGCATGCAAGACTAATTTATGAAAAAATCATACAAATAGTTCACTTTCAAAACCTGTGAGCGTCGTCTTGTCTTATTATTTCCTCTTTGCATGCCTCTGTGTGAAAGTATTCTATAATTATCTTGGGCCAAATTCAGACCTTGTGTAAAGTTGTATACAGGAACTAAACCTGGCACTTTGTGCACACAGGCTGCTTACAGATGTTAAAAAATAAAAAAAAACCCAACCCTTGTGCTTTACTGGAAGAAGCAGTGCAGTTCTGCAGCATCTGTATAGATTGGGTGCTTCAGCAGGGCTTTTTGGTGCTTTTTGCTAAAACTGATTCAATCAGCTATTAAATAAAGCACAAAAATGCCCCACTAAAGCACCCATTCTTTACAGATGTCAGATGAGCCAGGTCCAACTAAAGCGCTGCCTCTTTTAGGAATGCTCCCACGGGGCATTATGTTGCCAGTATTCCCCTCTTCTGGGAATGCTCCTATAGGGCTCCTGCAGCAAGTTTAAAGGAAAGCACCCTTTTTGTGAGTTTTCAATGTCTGCAAGCACCCACAGTGCCTGATTCCTCGATGACTGATTTAAGCTTGAGCCATTCTGATGTTGCAGCATTTTGTGCAGATGTTAAATGGGTGCTGGGGTATGGAAAATCAGGCTTGGAATATGTACTTTTGAACATTTTCAGCATGTAGAACAAAAATATATATATTTTTATAAAAATCTAACACTAATAACATATTGCCACCTGCTGGTCACTTATACAAATGTGCATCTTTGATAATGGCAAGTACTAATACTGAATGTCTGTAATACTGAAACAGTTCTTTAGCACTAACTGCACACAGCTCAGATTTGTAGGTTTAGGATTAAACATCTTCATTTCATTTCTCCTGTTTTGCACAGAATGTCCCCAGGGTACATATGGTTACGGCTGCCGGCAAATATGCGACTGTCTGAATAACTCAACTTGTGACCACATCACAGGAACTTGCTATTGCAGCCCAGGCTGGAAAGGAGCAAGGTGTGATCAAGGTAAACTGTCTCTTTTGACATGAAATCAAATGACTATGAAAGTTCTGCAAAATATCAGTGGAGTTATTCCTCTGCAATGTCATATGTTCCTAAACATTAAATTCAGTCACTGAAATGAATTGTATATATAAATAGCTTTCTTTTTTGTTTAAGAGTGGTATTTTGTGTTTAGGACTCTTTACTCATCAGGTACCTTATTGATAGATTATTGGAATGAGACCTGTGAATGTCTGAGCTAGGGAAAGTATATATTTGCCTTTTTAAGCTGCATTTGATAATATTTTTTCAGTGTAATATCATACAACTTCTATATACAGCTTCTGGTGGATTGTGTACATTGTACATTATATGTTTTTTGCCTAGAGAGCAGAATGGTATTTCAGCTCCTCAAGTACATAGGTGCAAAAATCACATTACTTTTGCAGTGTCTCTGGGGTGTGTGTGTGTGTGTGTGTGTGTGTGTGTGTGTGTGTGTGTGTGTGTGTGTGTGTGCATTGGGTAAAGCTGGGGACATCTTTCCTAATTTTTTTACATAATTTTAACTGTATTTAAATCCAGAAATAAATATAATATAGTTTACAAATAGGATTTAATTCTCTGTTCTGTACAGATAATACTTGCATGCATTTATGCCTTGTATTTTCACTTTCTTTTGTTTTCCAGCTGGTGTAATCATAGTCGGAAACTTAAACAGTTTAAGCCGTACCAGTACTGCTATCCCCGCAGACTCATACCAGATAGGGGCTATAGCAGGCATCATTATTCTTGTCCTTGTCATCCTCTTCCTGCTAGCACTATTCATCATTTATAGACAGAAGCAGAAAGGGAAAGAAACAAATATGCCAGCAGTTACCTATACACCTGCTATGAGGGTCATCAATGCAGATTACACCATTTCAGGTAGGTGCAGAGCTGCGTGGGGAGCATAACTAAGTAAATCACAGTTGGAATGAACAGGAAGGTTTTTTTCTCTCTTCCTCTTGACTTTCACAACTATTTGTTTTCTTTATCAAGCCCATAAACTATCTACATTAATGCTTTTACAGATCTGAGAAAGGATAGAATACCTCCTCATCAGCTAGAAGCATCCAGTTTGGAGCCCACACTACCATAAGTAGAACAATAGCCAAAGCTGGGAGTTGCTGCATATTATGCATTATAGCTTTTTAATCTGTGCATTTAGCCTAATTATACAAGTAAATATGTGTACTACATGTTTACCTTTAAACAAAAAGAAATACTGGCAACATACCATGCAATTATATGTGCCAAAATATGTTTTTAGATTTAGGAAATACAGGGCATGTCTACATGTCGCCATATGGTGACGTTGCTACTAACGTAACCACCTGTACTGTGCCATGCATGTGGTGCACAGATTTTGCTGCTGCATCACTGTAGCAGCATGTTAAAATGGGGAAGTGCACTGTATGGCAACCTGGTGCATCGCTACATTGCTGTAGGGCAATGTGTAGATGCAACCACATAGTAAGTAACCATCAATCCTTCTGGTGACCTCATGAGAGGTCACCAGGACCTTTGATGCATACGACTAGGCAGGAGTATGGACGAGTGGAGTCTGCCCAGACCTTTTATCCCTGCTTTAGGGCAATGAGACAGCATCCAAATGGCAGACCAAATCCAGACATGTGGTGCCTCAATGGATGTTGAACTGAACCCGTCTCCCATGTGGAGACAAGGATTCTATTACTGAACCACAATAGCAGGTTAGGAAATCCACTGACAGTTTAAATTGCTCTGTTCTTCTCATAACTATTTACACAGCATAAGAAAGGGTGAAAAGATATGGTTTTAGCTAAGAATGACATTGAACCAGTGAGTTGGATACAGAGGCATTGCAGGAGGCAGGGAAGCATGAGATGTGAAAAGAGTGGGGAAAGAGAGTTGGGACAACAGCCTTGCACTAACCTCAAGAAAAGTTATGCAGGATTTGGGAAAAAAAAAAAAAAAAAAGGAAGGCAGTTTTCATTTAAATCCTGTTGCCTAGGTGGAGGTATGTGAAAGGTGGGTAGATACGGTCACACTCCTCTGTATTCATGAAACTCCAGGCAGCAGCATCCTAAACATGGATTAGGAAAGTTTGGTCTTGTGGGGACAGGAACAGCAATCATCAAAGCAGACAAAGGTATGTTTGAAAATTGTGGAATAGGGAAGTTAGCACCAAGGGTGACAGCTGATGGAGGCAAAGGGAGTGAAGAGACTGAATTGAGAGAAGGGATGGAATTATACTCAGAAGTGTGTTTCTTTGCCCCAGGGGAAGACCTACTATATCAGTAGCTATTCTGTATCTTTGATTTATATAATTTAATAAATATTACAATTAAAATACAATTTAATAATTTTAGACCTTCATTTCTTGAGCAATATTGAAGCAATCTCTAAAGCCAATGGATTCAGAGTATCAGGAATGTATCTTCAAAAGGCAGTAGCATGTTCCTTTAAATTATGCATTTTCCTTTCCCTTTCTTTTCAGAAACCATTCCTCACAGTAATGGTGGAAATACTAATAGTCACTACTTCTCCAACCCTAGCTATCACACCCTAACACAGTGCACGACCCCATCTCATGTCAACAACATGGACAGGATGACTCTTGCAAAGGTAAAACATCACGAAATATAGTGGCAGTTGTGCAGAACAGGGAAATCAGTGTTTTCTTTTTCATTGTGCATTTTTATGAAAGTCATTTTTGTAAAGTAGTTGATTCCTTACTCTCTTATACTGGATTTATTTCTATTTTGTACAATTATACCCTTGGGTGAACATTGGCTTTAAGCTGTATTATCTTTCTTTCTTTGAAATAGACTAAAAACAACCAGCTCTTTGTGAATCTTAAGAATGTGGAACCTGGAAAGCGAGGTGCAGTTATCGACTACGCGGGAACATTGCCTGCTGATTGGAAGCATGGTGGCTACCTCAATGAGCTCGGTAAAGACAAAGAGGAAGGGTAGCGTACGTGATCCTGCCTGGGTCTGATGGATAGCCGATCAGTCATTTTGCAGGGCATGGGCACAATCTGGTGGTTTTTCTCTGAAGGTAGCAAATATTGGCAGGACAGTCAGTCTTGCTGAATTGGGTTGGAATGGGTCAAAGCCATAAACTTGATTCTTTTTCAGGTTGGATAATGGAGTATTATTCACAGTTTCCACAGTGAAAACTGTGGCTCTACTACCTGAAGATAGGAGGCATTGTGTTTCAACCCTGTGCCCAACACAGAGGCAATGGAACCTACATTATTTTGCTAATCCTCTTTTTATCTAATAGTATAAGACAGAAGGCATATGGATCACAGAGTCATTCTTGTAAAAATGTACTGGCCTATTCAGTCAGTAAGATACTGAAGAGTCCCATTTTTATCTCCAGAATGAAGAATATGTACTTGCATTTCAGAAATAACTGTTTTTGCAAACAGTTATTAAGAAACATGGAATACAGAATTTATTTAAATCACCTTCTTGCCAATATACAATTAGATCTCTGGTAGATGTACTATTGGGAATTAAATTAGCAATGGACATGACAGGACATCATAGCAAAAAAGCCCAAACTGTATTTTGAAAAATAAAGAAGGGCTTAGCTAGGCCCAAACCTTGTTAGAATACTACAGCCAGTTTCTCAGCCTAAATTAAGTCCCCCTTGTACCATTGGAGTAGCAGCTAGAGGATAAGAAACTGGTAGTGGAAAACTAGTGTCCCTCTTTTTAGGCCAACGCCTCCTTATCCTATTGTCCTCTGGCATTCTAGGCATACTTTTGGTCACCATTTCAAATCTGCTGAGCACATCTGTCTGAAACCTGTCCCTTTTGTTTTGACTTGCTGGGAAATAGTAAATTTGCAAATCTGATGAAGTTTTAAAAATTGAAACAAAGCTAGAGGACAGAAAGAGTAGGATTCATTTTATGGTGACTTTTTCATCAAATGTTCTCTGTACAATGAAAACCATATGATTTATTTTATATAGTATATAAAAACTAGTAGGAAGTGTCTCTGCACTACACATTTTTTCCTTACCAGTAAATGTAGATGAAAGCCAGAGTAGGGAGCAGGAACACATGCAAAAGGCACACCAGATATGAAAGAATCAGGGTGGAGAGTTTATATCTCTGCCATAGGGAAGATCATAGAATCATAGAAAATTAGGGCTGAAAGGGACCTCAGGAGGTCATTTAGTCCAACCCCCTGCTCAAAGCAGGACCATCTCTAGCTAGATCATTCCAGCCAGGGTTTTGTCAAGCCAGGCCTTAAAAACCTCCAAGGATGGAGATTCTACCACTTCTCTGGGTAACCTGTTCCAGTGCTTTACCATCTTCCTAGCAAGAACATATGTCCTCATATCCAACCTAAACTTCTCTTGCTGCAACTTGAGACCACTGTTCCTTGTTGTGTTATCTATCACCACTGAGAACAGTTTAGCTCCATCTTCTTTGTAACCACCTTTCAGGTAGTTAAAAGCTGCTATCAACTCCCCTCTCAGTCTTCTCTTCTCCAAACTAAATAAGTCCAGTTCCCTCAGCCTCTCCTCAGAAATCATGTGCCCCAGCCCTCTAATCATTTTCATTGCCCTGGACTCTTTCCAAGTTATCCACATCCTTTCTGTAGTGGAAGGCCCAAAACTGGACACAGTACTCTAGATGTGGCCTCACCAGTGCAGAACAAAGTAGAATAATCACTTCCCTCAGTCTGCTGGCAATGCTTCTACTAATGCAGCCCAGTATGCTTTTAGTTTTCTGGGAAACAAGGGCACATTGCTAATTTATATCCATCTGATTATTCAGTGTAACTCCCAGGTCCTTTTCTACAGAGCTGTTGCTTAGCCAGTTGGTCCCAAGCCTGTAACAGTGCATGGGATTCTTCTGTCCTAAGTGCAGGACTTTACACTTGTCCTTGTTGAACCTCATGAAATTTCTTTTGACCCAATCCTCCCCCTGCACTTGATGTCATCTGCAAACTTGCTTAGGGTGCAATCCATCCCATCTTCCAGATTGTAAATGAAGATATTGAACAAAACCGGCCCCAAAACTGACCCCATGAGCACTCCACTTGTTACTGCCTGCCAACTCAACATTGAGCCATTGATTATACCCTGCTGAGCTTGATGATGCAGCCAGCTTTCTATCCGCCTTACAGTCTATTCATCAAACCCGTACTTGCTCAGCTTGCTTGCAGGAATGTTGTGGGAGACCATATCAAAAGCGTTGCTAAAGTACAGGTATATTACGTCCACTGCTTTCTCTGCATCCAGAGAGCCAGTTATCTCATCATAGAAGGCTATTAGGTTGCCCAGGCATGACTTGCCCTTGGTAAATCTATGCTGACTATTCCTGAACACCTTTGCCTCCAAGTGATTATAAATAGATTCATTGAGGACTTATTCCAAGATTTTTCTGGAGACTGAGGTGATGTTGACTGGTCTGTAGTTCCTGGGATCCTCCTTCTTCCCTTTCTTAAAGATGGGCACTATATTTGCCCTTTTCCAGTTGTCTAGGACCTCTTCCAATTACCATGAGTTCTCAGAGATAATGGCCAGGAGCTCTGCAGTTACATCAGCCAACTCAGCACCCTCAGATGCATTGCATCCAGCCCCGTGGACTTGTACATGTCTAGTTTTTCTAAATAGTGCCTATTTAGAAGATACTCTCTCAATCCTAGGGAGACACGGTTTAAGGGGCACAGGACCCCCTTAAATGCGTATCTTTTTGCATTTGCTTCTGACTGTTGTGTGCATTTACTGGGATTGGTTGAAGATCTAGCACCCAGAAACTAAAAAAGTTGGCTGATGTCAATTTATCAAAAACCCAAACTGCCAGCCTAAAAGAGTGCTAATATTGTGCCAATATTCAAACAGAGGAAGTGGAATGAACAGGGGAACTACAGGCTGGCTGACCTCACCTCTGTCCAGGGCAAAATGATAGGGATACGGGCTCTCATTAATTAAGATTTAAAGGACAAAAATATAATTAATGCTAGTCAACATTTTAAATGGAAAATAGATCTTTAAAGATATTACAAGTTTGGCAGACATAGTTGTATAGATGTAATATTCCTTGACCTTTTGTAAAATATTTGACTTAGTACACATTCTGATTAAAAATAGTATAATGCTTTAAATGAATTATGTATTGGCTAATGAGAATTGTCAGTGGGAATCATCACATGATGAGGGGATTATGTTGGGGTTTTGCATGGCTTAATACTAAGCCCAAAGCTATTCATCATTTTCATCAACAGCAATGTGGAAGTAAATATAAAACCACTGCTGATAAAACTTGTGAATGAGACCAAGGTTGGCAGAGCAGTAAATAACAATGAAGACAAGGCAGTCATGAAAGGTGCTGTGGATCACTTGACTAGCTGAGCACATTTAAACAAAATACACATCTGGGAACGAAGTGCAAATTACACCTACAGCATGGGGGACTATATCCTGAATAGTAGTGACTGTAGAAAAGTTCTAGGGGTTTTAGCTTATATACAATGCAAAGCAGCACCACACTGAGACACATCAGTGAGCACTCTCCTAAACTGGAAACTGTGCAGTCCCATCACTGCAACAGTGTTTACTGGCCTACGTACAGTACCACACTCAGACAGCTTCTGTTTCAGGAGCTTATGCGCACTGAATTAGTTCTCTTTGTGCTGTTTACCTCTGCTTATAGATTCATAGATTGAAAGGCTGGAAGGAACTTTAGAAGATCATTGGGTCCAGCCCCCTGCACCAAGCAGCAAAGATAACTGGGGGTCAGGTGACCCCAGCAAGGTGACTATCTAGTTTTATCTTGAACATTTCCAGAGTAGGTGATTGTACCAACTCTGGAAGGAGCTTATTCCACACTCTGGACACCCTGACTGTGAAGAAGTTTGTCCTAATGTTGTGCCTGAATCGATCTTGCAGGAGTTTGTGGCCATTACTCCTCATTTTCCCCTCAGGTGCCCTGGTGAACAGTTGCTCACTGAGCCCTTGATGTATACTCCCCTAGTGTAGTGGTAAGCTGCTACCAGGTCTCCTCTCAGCCTTCCTTTCCTCAGGCTGAAGAGTCCCAGCTCCCTCAGCCTTTCCTCATATGGCTTGCCTTTTAAGACTCTGATCATACAGTGTGCTCTTCTGTGGACTCTCTCAAGCTTGTCCATTTCCTTGTTAAACTGTGGTGCCCAGAACTGGATGCAGTACTCCACCTACAGTCTCTCCAGCACCTTCTAGACATAGCCATAGTCCACAAGCAACTCAATATGATTTCTCTTGGCAATATTATGGCAAGAAGGACTACTGACTAGTGTGTAAACAGAGAAGTCATGAGAAGGAGTAGGAGAGTGCTTTTTTGGCATTGGTCAAACCAGTACTGGAATACTACACACAGCTCCAGTGTCCACATTTTTAAAAAGATGTTGAAAAATTGCACAAGGTGCAGAAAAGACCTGCAAAATTGATTCAAGGGCTGGATAAATTTTTTTTACAGCTGAGAAAGCACAACAGGAATCAGTACTTGGCAACTGAAGCCAAACAAGTTCAGACATTGGAAGTGATTGATCACTGGATCAATCTACCAGGGGAAGTGGTGGATCCTCTGTCTTGTGATGACTTGGAATAAAGAGTGGAGGATGCTTTTCTAAAAGATATGCTTTGGCCAAGCACAAATTATGCCTTAGTTAAACAAAGTTATTGAGCTAAATACAAAGGTAACTTGGTGAGATTTAATGACCTATGTTGCACAGGAAATGAGACTAGCTGATCTAACTGTCCTTTCTCACTTTAACTCTATAAATCTAGGAATACTCTGCTCAGGGAACCATTATTAGTCAATATATAGTTGCAAAATCACATTAACTTGGAAGTATACCTGTGTTCTCCTCACAGAATTATTTCTCTGCTGAGAGAGAAATTAAGCATGAATTGATTCATAGAGATTTAGAACCAATGATTTTAATTGGATTTGCAAAATATTCTGTATTTTTGTTTCTCCTTTTTCACAGGGGCTTTTGGACTTGACAGAGGATATCTGGGAAAATCCCTGAAAGGTGAATTTTCATTTTCTGATATAATTACATGAAATTACATATACAGTCGAGTCGCATCTTACACGTATTTAACTTACTTGAATTCAGCTATACGCGCTCAGCTGCTGGGGCTGGCTACCGGGTGCTGGCCAGGGCACAACGCATAGTGCGGCACCACGTGGTACTGCCTGCACGCACCTGCACGTTCTGGCGTGGCTGGGGGGGCGGCAGCTCACTAACGCTCAGCTGGCTGCCCTGGCGGGACAAGGCAGCAGAGGACGAGAGGGGCAAGGAGTGCGTGCAGAAAGCACAGCTGTTGCATTGCACGCATGGGCTGTGCAGCGCCATACCCATCTTGTCCGGGCCCTGTGGTGGCGGCGGCTGCTTAGCGCCAAAGCCCGGCGGGAAGGGCAATTTCAACTATACGCAATTTTCGCCTTACGCGCTGACTTCAGAACGTAACCCCCGCATAAGATGCAACTCGGCTGTATATATTTCATGTCATGTTGAGAATTATTTTTGGTTTCTGAGTCAGGAGACTATATTAGAATTCTAGATCATGTTGTGCCTTATCACTGAAATGATGCATGAAACAGTGAAAAGGTAATAAGAGTTTCTTTCTGCCCCATATATGCCCCATATGTCATCCAACAAACCCCCCCTTCCTACTCCCAGGGGAGCCTCCCCAACGTCCCACCAGGCAGACCCCAGCTGGGGTCCAGTGCAGGCCAGGGTGGGGATTTAAACCTCTCCCCACCCCCCTGTCATCCTCAGCTGGCTTGGCTGGGCTGGGACCTGGCCACACCCTCCCCCCCACACCGTTCAAGCAGGAAGAAGGGAAAAGCCTTCTGGGGTCTTAACTCCTCCCCTTCCCCCCACCAGGCAGACCCTGGCTGGGGTCTGGTGCTGGGTTTTCCGCCCCCCACATTTCTGTGCCAGCCAGAGCAGTTATAATGTTTTGACTAGGGAGACGAGGAGTGGGAAAGACCCTGCTCTGCTGCAGCAGACAGCACAGCCCAGGGCTACAAAGCATCCTGGGATGCTGGAGGACTGTAAATTAACTTAGAAAAGTAGGAGGGGGTACTCACTAGTCCCCCCCCCCCTCCAGTAGGGCAGGGCCCCCCCAAATCCCGGGCAGGGCCCCCCCTTGCCTGAAAACAGCTTTCCCCAACGGCAGACCCACTGTGCATGCGCACAGTTTAAAAGGGCCCGCCAAACAGCAAAAAAGCCCAGTTAGGCTCAGGAATGGTGAGAGATGCGCGGATGAAAGCCCGCCGTGTCCCCGCTCCCCAGACACCTTAGACACCCCCCAGCAGCCGCAGAGTCCCCTGCCGACCCCCAGCACAGCTGGAGGCAAGCGGGGCTCGTGGTGGGAAGGGGTTAACCCCTCTCTGAGTGGGAGGAGGCGGCTGCGTGGAGCCGGGCCGGGTAAAGCCCCCACCCAGGCCCCTACTTTGCCCAGCCCTCCAGGAAGCCACGCGACCGGAGCCACGCGAACAGGCTGCGCAAACAGGCGAGCTTGTCTGCCGGCGCGTGAGTTAGTGCAGAGTTCGTGCAGGAGGGGGTGTGGGAGGGCCCGAGACCCTGCCTGCGAACTCCCCAGGGTAGTCATTCCCAGCCTCAGCCAGCCTACCAGAGGCATGACATGGATGGGCACGCACTGCACCCCTCAGGTCACCTCGGGCTCTGTGGCCCCCCCCATCAGGCACCTCAGAGACTGCCACCCAGATGGAGCC